AAGTGTAAATTTTACATATTAAAGTGTAAATTTTACAGATTAATGTGTAAAATTTACAGATTAAAGTGTAAATTTTACACATTAAAGTGTAGAAATTAAAAAATAAAAAGTGTCAAAATGGCACTAATACGCTTCCGTATAAAGGGGCCTGGATACAGTTGCACTGTTTACAATTTTAAATGCAATTCTTATTTAAAAAAAAAAGTTTACTCTGTAAAAGTGCAAGGTTACGTGTCAATCAAACTCGTCCCGAAAATCATAGTTTTAATAATTTCCAGATAAAAGAATTTTCTTAACACGCTTTTAATATATTTCGGTGTGAAATGCTCTAGCAACATATAAGCCATGATATTATTTAGAAAATTTTAGAAAATATGAACTTCAAATCTGTGTCCCAATCTTTTTAAGAACACAATCATATTCCAATACAATGTATATGATTTAGGTTTTTTGTATAAAAAATATTTTATCGTCCCCAAAATGGCCTTCTATATGAAAATCAAAATTTTGAAACTTATTACACATCTGCAGACATTACTATCAATGACATTCAAAAAGGCGAAATTGCTACTGAGTAAACTCTCAGAAACATCTGAGAACCAGATATTATTGTGCAAAATTTACCCCCAAATAGAATTGAAAAATTCAAAACCTGATTGCATAGCACAAGATACAAGAATTTTTTATTCTAATTTTGGCCCCCGGAGGAACAACAAAGTTTTTTTTTTTTTTTTTTTTTTAAATGAAGGAGGAGAGTCAAAATGATAGAACAAACATGGTTTGCTGTTGCCATGGACATAAGTATTTATACATTACCGATTTATTTCTTAAAATAAATGAGTTATATTCTACATGTATTACTTAGAAGTTTGTTTTTGTAACTTAAAAAGAATATTGTTTCGACACTTTTTAATTTTCCGCTTTTTATTTATCAAAACATCCAAATTTGTTGCTGGGCAACGGATAGGATTTTTCAAAAAACCAACGTATTGAAGTCAAACTCTAAAAGTGTTTTTATGTGAAATACATGCAACAAATGGTATTAATTTAAATTGACCTTGAATATTGTCAAAATCAAGAAAAAATCTGTATCAGCAAAAATACAAATATATATATATATATATATATATATATATATATATATATATATATATATATATATATATATATATATATATATATATATATATATATATATATATATATATATATATATATATATATATATATATATATATATATATATATATATATATATATATATATATATAGATTCTAAAGTCTATCAAAGAACTATGTCTAAATTTAATATCGATGTCTTGTTTTGTTTAAACACGTAAAATGTGTATCATTATTATACCAGTAAATAAGAATAATTATAAAATTATTGATATTTAATTTTTAGCTATAGTATAAATGATTTTATTTCCATCCACATTCCAAATTGTATCCACAAAATTGATAGGTTGCTAGGGAAATTTCTTTGACAAGGTTTCAATTGTAACCATGACCAAAACCACTTTTCGTTCTACATACATGGATCATAGTGAAAGAGAAATCTATTATATGGGATGTGATTTTCCATTTGTAGGAATATATCTCAGTTTTAATCACGTCATAGAGAGGCCACCATGTTAAGACAGATTGAGTATTGTGACACTATGTAATTTCTCTTTCTCTCTAGCTATTCCACATTATCGATGAATAATACATAAATTTAAATAATTGATCATCTATTATCAATTGTCCAATTTGCTTTATTAACAGCATATGCTAGATATTCCCAAACTGTTGCTTCCAAACTTCAATTATAAACAAACCATAGAGTGCCTAGATATTGAACATCTAAAACAAAATCCTCTCAAGTGTTCTAAGACTTGCTCTTCTTCTTCTTCTTTCAATACATTCCCGTTGGGCATGTCGTTACTGATGATGTCAATATACAGTAAATGAAAATGAAGAGCTTAAAGCCATCATATTAAAAGGTCGAAAATACAAGGCGTTCCGATCAATTCATTTCTATTATGAATTCTATGGAAGATTATGCCAGACGTTGGGCTAAATATGAAAAGGAAGATCTGAACACTTTGCCAGAATGGATCAGATGTTTTAGAAATATATTAAAGAATCGAATAAGAAATTTAAAAGGCAATATGCAAACCATCTATCTTTCCGTTTTCACTAAATCGAATGTGACCAAAATACTAGAAAGACTACATAAAATATGGTTCAAGCTTGTAACAATATCGTTTTTGTTTGCAAGGCTCATTATTATAACTGCATTTTAGAAGAACTTGGTTTTAATTCTACTTTTGGATATCCAACTTACACTCCCAGTTTCACTTTCTAAAGATGACATTCTATAAAACCAAATTTCAGTATTTAAAACCTTTAACATTCCAATTAACGAAGGTGAGTTAGAGCTATCCTTCCTCTACTTGATTCCTAAACTTCATAAAAATCCTTACAGAGATACACTGCAGGGTCAAGCAAATGTTCTACTAAGCCCCGATCCTTACAAAAAATATTTACTGCTGTTAAGGAGAAACTTCAGACGTAATGTGCTACAGCATATTCTAGAAGTGGTGTAAATTAGATGTGAATTCTCAAAAAAAAATCAAAAAACATTTAGAAAATTTAAAATCGCGAAATTTTTCAAATGTAAGTAACATCAAAACGTACGACTTTTCTACAATTTATACAACCATTCCTCAAGATAAATGAAAAACTAGAATTTTTGATATCATAGATAACTGTTTCTTCAATAAAATGGAAATCGGAAAGTTTCCTCTATCTTGTGATTGGTCATCAACAAAATGACTTTGTTAAAACTCACTCTGATTCTATACACAAGTACTCTGAAGTTGATATAAGAAAGATGCTGGAGTCTCATTGACAACATTTATGTAGTTTTTGAAGACCAGGTCTTCCAATAAACTGTTGGAACTTCGATGGGCATTAATTGTGCTTCTTATTAGCCAGCCTCTTTTTATATTCCTATGAAGCAGAATTTATTCAAAAACTTCTGCATAAGATGAAGAAAATATTTGCTGTGGCCTTCAACTCGACATTTAGATATATTGACGATATAATATCAATTAACCAGTTCTTTCATTTATATGTCGTTTTGATATATCCCAGTGAACTTGAAATAAAAGACACCACAAAGTCTGCCACATCTGTTTCATATTTGGATGTTTTACTGACTATAGACGATAAGGGACAACTAACAACTAAATTGTATTACAAAGGTGATGACTTTAACATTTTCATCGTCAACTTTCCTTATCTATAAAGTAAGATCCCGCTAACACCAGCATATGGTGTTTTCTTTACCCAACTTATTCGATACTCAAGAGCATACTCCGAGTACGATCAATTTTTAAACCGAGGAAGTCTACTGAAAAATAAGCTGATGTTGCAGGGATTTCAACAACCTTGTTTAAAGTCAGCATTTCGAAATTTTATGGTCGTTATAATGACCTTGTTAGCAAATATAGCCTTTCACTGGGTCTTATTTTGGCTGACTTGTTTCATACCTATTGTTAGGCTTTTTATACAGAATTTGACTACGGAATGTTGAAAAGACACCGAAGATCAAAGATTCCAAAACGACCAAAAGTGTTATTAGTATGTTTACTAATAGAAGATTCTACTTTTCAAATTTTTATTTGAAAATCATGATTCAAATTTAAATAAAAGACATTTTAAAATCAATATAATGCATAAATCATGACGATTTGAATAATGGCTTCCAATTACTTGTAAATGATACATAAACATAACTTTTCAAATACTTTAAATTAAAGCTTAAGCTTCTTCGGGTTTACTTACAATTTTATACAAGCTTATAGACTGTATTACTGATATATTTTGGTTCAGATCTAAGAGCTGAGGATGTTTTTTTTAACTTTAATTTTCTCAACTTTATTGAAATGATTAATTTGGTTCGATCCTGATGTAGGAGTTCGGGGAACCAGTTGGGTTTATATATATATATATATATATATATATATATATATATATATATATATATATATATATATATATATATATATATATATATATATATATATATATATATATAGTGTGTGTGTGTGTGTGTGTGTGTGTGTGTGTGTGAGGGAGTGAGGGAGGGTGTGTGTGTGTGTGTGAGGGTGTGTGTGTGTGTGCAATGATATAGTGTGCAACAAAGAATTATGAATCAAAGAAGTCAGGACTTGTATAACGTTTTATTTCAATATGTCAAGAAATACGTACATGTCATGTGACATTTTGAAAGAGTCTTCACATATACAATAACTCATCTTCAAGGGTTTTTTTAAAAATCAGAGAAATATATTTTGCATGATATTAACATATAAAGACAGACGGACAGGAACCTGATCAATGCATTTTAGCCTTTGGTATTCGACAAGTAGTGCATTTCTCAGTTTTAAACCATTAAATTAATTTAATATTAGCATGCAGAATCCAGACACCTCCCACTGCACCCGGAATTTTTTAAGTAATTTCTTAAGTAAAGTAACCCAAAAAATGACCTTGGACCCCCTTTATCAAAAGCGACTTGTCCTACCCCCCCCTCCCCCTCCCCCCGAAATAGAATTTACGGGTTTGGAGAAGTTGATAAAGTTTTTCTTTGCTTATCAAAATAATTCTGAGTGGGATTTTCTTTTTGAGTGTGTAAACCGCCCACCTCCAATCTCTGGAAAAAATCCTGGATCTACACTAGATCAGATTTCTGTATCAATAGTATTTTGAAGCTATGAGTTGAATTTTTAGAAAGTCAACCAACATATTGCTGAAACATTAAAAAAATTTTGTAATTTCTAGAATCACCAAAATCCTGGTAAAAAAGGCAAAATGTAAGTTTATCTGACGAGTATTTCTCTAACTTCTATTCATTTGTTCAATCCCCTGCCTAAAATGAAATCATGGTATCGGTAGCGCTGTGTATATTCCACTTTTGAGAATGAGTGGATATCACAACGGACCATTACTGATGCTTAATGGAGATTTCCTGGATGTACCGGGAGCAGGAGAGGGAGCTAGTCTTGCAGGACGGAGTGCTTTCTTACACAAAACAATGATAGACAGGAACAAGACTTCTATGAGCTCGGAGAGCGTCAGTAGGCTGGCTCCCAGGAAAACACCCATCTGTCCTCCTATTGTTCCTTTAAAAAAATTTAAATTATTTCATTTTATGTTTTTTGCGAAAATATTTATACAATGTAGCAATTGTCTGGCTTAAGGTTAATTTCACGATTATAGATTCCAGTGCTGAATCCAATAATTAGACATAGATCGAGTAATCCATTAAGTAGAGATTCCATAACATTGTAAAGGATAGATCATCAATAATGAACGAACAATAGAGAACGTAAACACTCACCCAGAATTTCAATGTATGTGATTTTCTGAATTTTCTCAAAGCTTTTATATACCAGAATTTCATAATATATCCTCACTTCCATGATGTTTTCTCTGAGAAACAAATGCATAGTGAAAACGACATAGATGATCATCATGTTAAATTGTTTAGAAATATGATTGAACAATTATCATGCATACTGTAGATTTATTAAGGTGCTGTTACCGGGAATCAAAACCAAACATTATTGATATAAGGTAAACATGCAGTAGGTGGAATTTTACAAGGAGAATGGTTTGAGGGTAAGTTCGAGTCCTTTACTGGGATGCTCACTCCTCCATGGCACCTGGTCCCACCTCTGGTGTTTTAGAGGTCCTGTTTGCTCTGCTCCGAAATATTGTATTGTTTAATGGACTTTTGAGCTTGAATACTGTTCGCTATTACCTTATATTTCATTATTTAAATAGATTTATCACATTTATTTGGAAAAAATTTTCTGATACAGACTCATTTAAAAGAAAATCGAATGGGTCCTATTAAGACAAGAATACATAAGCCTTAACAGTTCCTTTTTTTTTTAATTCTTTAAAGATGTTCAATTTTCAAAGGCCTCATGAACTAAAATTGATAATGTTATTTACATGGATTCAGCTGTTCTTGAAATTAATTCAAAGCCAATAAGTTCACAAATAACAAGTGTTTCTATGAAGCTGATTTGAAAATTAGTTTGTTATAGATACAAGATGGTGATTTGTACATAGAAGTTTTCTGATCTTCATGTCTTTTGTTAAGAAGATGGGCGAACACCGTGAGCAAAATGCCTTTTGTGTGAAAGGAAAAAAAATGAAATCTCAATTATGACATAATATTAACGTACATTTTTTGTAAAATCTCCATAATTTGCATCAATCTCACAAACATTGAACATTCGGTCTATTAAATAGCAAAAACACACCAAAGAAGGCAAAAATGATCATTTTTCATACTATATTACATTTTTTTTCAATTTTTCTGGGCGCCTGCGTGGCGTAGAGGTTAGAGCGTTTGCTCTAGAGTCGCGGTGAAAGGAGTTGATCCTTACGTCGCGGGTTCGAATCCCATTGTGGGACGTGGAGACCGGTCCTTCGGATGAGACTGTATACACCGAAGTCCCGTGTTGCAGTTGGTGCTGGCACGAAAAAGATTCCTCACTGCTCAATGTCCCTAAGTGAAGAGTATAGGTCAAAATTTGCAGCTCTCCACCGGCAAGTGGTGGCGTCTCCATATGGGTAAAAATTCTTGAGAGGGACATTAAACAACAAGCAATCAATTAATCAAACAATTTTTCTGTATGAGTAAATCTTCGTTTCATTTTTTTTTAAAGATTATACTCAAAGTAATGTAAAACTATTCATATTACGGTTAACAAGAACACACGGCAAAGATCCGCTATACCAAAAATACACATTTATGAAACAACATTCGTATCTTTCCGAGAAATATTTGAAGTCCATTTAGTCAAGGGTCATTTCACAAAAGAGCTATAAAGCGTAGTTGTGAAAAAAACTGAAACCCAAGAATACAACTTTTTTTAAATCATAAAATGATTTTTGCTGAAAGAATTTTTCCGCAGAAAAGCTTTGTCAGAATTTCATATTTTTCAATAATATGAAGTTTACTCGAAATACTACCTTCACAAACTGAACATAACTTTATACATTTGAAGCTATAGGCAATTTGCACGCCTTGTTCGTCCAGTTCCTTTAAGAAATTTCAGAATATTTCAATGCCATAGTTCTTGTATCATACACAACATAAATGTTCCCTATACTTAGGGTTTACCGTATGTCAGTGTACCCGAATGTAGCTTTGATCCAATCCTCGTACAAATTGGCCGGGAAATAAGCACTTGATATGTGTGTTTTATACTCAATATTTGAACAAGGAATCGGACAACCACACTCAATCTGGAGTGTCAAGTTTCCATCAAACTCTTCTGAAATTAAAATACCATGTTTTGATTGAAACATTATACAAAGAGCATGCACTATTTTCATTATTAAAGTGTTAAGTGTAATATTTATTAGTTTAAAAAAAAACCTGGTATGAAGATTTGTTGTTACATCTCAAATGAAATTAACAATAAACCTTGTTACAATTTGAAGAGTTTGCAATCTTGAACTGAGTCTTGATATCTATTCAAACAACAGAAATGTGATACTCGCCCCTTGCTGGCTTGTGACAGTGATAATCTCTCTCGATAGAGCATATTGGTTCCAATTGTCCTATTGACAAAAAGGGTGGGTAAAAAAAGCCAATAACTCACAATCAAGACAGTGAAACACTGCCAACAACAGAGATATAGTTTAGGCTAAGATTTATAGATAAAATGTCTTCATAAAAATTCTGTTATATTATGCATAAATCAATGTGTTCATCTTACCTAAATCATGATGACTACGACATGAACATTTCTGGAAAGCAAACTTTTCTTTGCATTCCCGCAGACAACCACTGTAACTATACAGTCTATGGTGATTCAAATTGTTGATAAATCCAGCTTTATCAACATCTTCGCAGTATTCATTCCCAAATGCCTTGAAAGGATGGGGAAGGAATTTGTACTGCAATAACACGTATTTATATATTTTTTTCATTTACTCTTTAAGATATGTCAAGTTACTTTAGATCAATCGACATTTCGCACCAAATTCTTATGATCAAAAAGAACAGTCTTGGTAACAATTACATAACCGTACATTGCATTGAAAAAATATAAATTGCCCTTTCGAAATCAAATTAATCTGAACATTTCTTTTTCCTAGATATCAACAAATATTTTCAATTTAAAGTCAAATATGAATTTCTACTACATGTAGTTTAACGTGGAACCTTTGTCATCTCCAAAGGCATGTAGGTTGTGAATCCTGGAGAAATCAAGAATCCAGAATTCATGATGTTTGGCTCCTCATTGTGATCGTGGATCACTAACTGTAAAGTTAACAAACATGGATCACAAACTGTAACGTCACAATAAACATGAATTACTAACTGTAAAGTCACAATAAACATGGATCACACACGTTAATGTCACAATAAACATGGATCACAAACTGTAACGTCACAATGAACATGAATTACTAACTGTAACGTCACAATAAACATGAATTACTAACTGTAACGTCACAATAAACATGAATTACTAACAGTAACGTCACAATTGTGACGGTCAGACGGGTTCGATTGCGGTGGCCAGATAGCTAAGTTGGTAGAGCACCTGACGGGAGATTCAGGGAACACGGGTTTGAATACCGGTCTGGTCTGTCTTATTTTTTCTCCTCTCCTGTTACATTTGGATCCCGGTCGGCACCAGATGTCACAGGGGAGGAGAAAATGCGTTCCCGGATTCTCCACCCAAATCATGTAACAGGAAAGGAGAAAATGTATGGCTGGACAGGGAATCGAACAAGGGACCTCTGCATCACTGGTCAGGTGCTCTACCAACTAAGCTATCCAGGCCGATATCCACGGTCCAAACAATTAGGCAATAAACATGGATTACTAAGTGTAACGTCACAACAAACATAAATGACTAAAAGTTAAGTCCCAATAAACATTAATTACTAACTGTAAAGTTACAATATTTACATTTGCAAATGTTTTTTTTAATAACGCTATTATAAGCAACACGTATCTATATCCGTATAAACACGGGTTCCTCACGTCATAAACGTTTGACGTAATTTCTCAGTGACGTCATAAAGGGTCGACGCGCAATCAATGGATCAAATACGTGCCGTTGAGTTTGAAAACTAAGACACTGCAAGCGTTAAAGATTATAATCAGTAAAATATAAAATATAAAATATGAATAAGTCACAAATGTAAATATAAGTAAAAAGGTATCATTTTAAAACATCTTTCGGGCTATAAATACGGGTTGGTACGAGATCAAATTTACCATAATGAATTTGATCTCGTGACCAACCCTTATTTATATCTCGATAGATGTTTAAAAATGATACCTTATTTCTTAAATAAACATGGATCAATAACTGTAACGTTACAATAAACATGGATTACTAACTGTAAAGTCACAATAAACGAGGATCACTAACTCTAACGTCAAAATAAACATGGATTATTAACTGTAAAGTCACAATAAATGTTGATTACTAGCTATAAAGTCACAATAGACGTGGCCTACTGACTGTAAAGACGCAAAAAAACATGGTTTACTAACTGTAAAGTCACAATAAAAAGACGTACTCTTCAGATGTCTTATTTATAAGCTGCAAATCAGTGTTAATCGTAATTCTAATAGATATATAGAAGTTTACAAATATAAATAGGATGTTTTCTCACAAGTCTTTGCAGATTTCTTATTTTTAAAAAGCTGAAAGGTCAATCGTTTTTTAAATTGTATTTCTTGTAGATATAATGAAGATTATATATGAATATTAATTTTTTTTTCTAACTGTTAACATGACAGTGAAAATGGGTATAATTATATTCCATATGATAACAAGGGCATATCAAGGTGAGAAGAAGCGTTCTTGTTTTACAGGGAATCATATATAAGTTCTGGTTCCATTCTTTTCCGACTGAAGAGAGACGACGCCTTTAAGTGATTTGATTTTCTGATTTGATTTCCTTATTTATTCTTATTTGAACATATGTACCTTTACTATGGAACATTTCTGACAAAAAGAAAGCTGGAGTAAGACATTTAGTTCATAAGAAAGTTTTACCTTAATTCCTGCTCCCATGTTTCTAGCGAAGACATAGTCACTTTGATTGATATGCAAGTACATCGTCAATCCCAGAATGCTTCCAGTGTAATGTGTTCTTCTGGGTTCCCTCGTATCAAGACCATTGAAGGAGAAGCATAGTCCCCACTCAGTCTTATACGGAGTGAACAACTTGGTACAATCGAAGTATACCATTTCTTTCCATTTACATGCAATAAACATGTCACTTACACTGTAACTAATGTTAACCAACCAATCTTCGGTACCGTTCTCATATAACGGTAAATACTTGGGATCACTGAAATTCAATGGTGGAACAAAAGATCCAATATTACTGCCTCTCTCTAAATAATCCATTGTGGCCTCGTCGGGATTTAACTTTGACATTTTGTATGGACTAATATTACATACAGTTACAGCGGGAAAAGTTATCTCTTCCTCCATTTTGATGTTTAAAATTGTCAACGTTGGGTATGAGAAATATTCCAGCTTGAGGTTATACAAAGTTAATGTCAGCGAAATCCCCATGACTATCACGAGAATAAACCAGATTATCCTGAAATCAAACAGTACCAGATAAAACTAAAATCATAAAACCAGATCATTATAATCAAACAAAACTAGATAAAACTAATACAAAGAATAAGAAACAGAATTAAATTAAACGATGCCATTAAGAACAAGATTATAAATAAATCAAAAGGATCAGGTTCAGGTTAATTCTGAAATAAACACAAAACCAGTCAGAAAGATGTAATAAAGAATAATGAATAACAAGACTATTAAATAACAATTAGTAATACTTAACTTCTACAATTTATCTCAGGAGTACAACATTTGATATTTTGTTCTCCATCTTGGAAAAACTTTAATCAGTATATAATGTTTTGCATTCTTTTTTAGAAAATAAAGACAAAAGGAACATATTTATCAAATAAATCTATCATTTACAGGATCTCTCTGTGTTTCGGTGAAAAAAAATGTGGCTTTTAATTTGCTATTTAACATTAATTCTGGTTTGAAAAGTTTTGATATGATAGAACTATGATGTAATAATTCTCCAAAAATTACTTTTTTGTCAATTTAGTCATTTCTTGAAATCTAAGCCAAAGCAGAAGTTTGATATAGCAAGTTTTTTTGTTTTGTTTTGTTTTGTTTTTTATAAAAATACTAGATATTAAAGTGATCCTATTTTACATTATTTTGTTGCACTCCTGACATCTGGTATGTTTTTTTTTATCAAACATTGAAAAAAAATTCTTACACACAATATCTCATTCTAATTTTGTTAAACAGTTCTTTGTTGATATTTTTAATCATTTACGGAAAGTTTTAATATTTGACTTCAAAACATGCTTCTTTGCTTATTTATGAAATATTTTTAAAAATGAATGTCTGATGATGAAAACTTTTCTGTGAATTGACTTAAAATATCCAAATATGTCTGCGATTTATTGATTTACATAATGATTTCAACTTGAATAGTATCGAGCATTATTTTATAATTTATTTTGTAGTATAGAGAGATGAAGCACATTGACAATTACAAAACAGTTTTGTTGCACCCCTGAATACAGTAAGATTTAAAATTGAAACCACAAAAAACAAAAATTCATAAAGTTTTGGCAAAATCAAATTGTGATGAAATTGTGCGATATCTATAGTCCAATACTTAGATTAAAAAGCATGAAATTGTATAAAATTGGCTTTATATCACAAATTATTCCCTATAAATATCGTAAATCTAGCTAAAAATATATCAGGAAGATATATTTTATAGGACATTTTTTCTTCATGGGACAAATACTGTTAGTTATTGAGATCAACTAGAAACATTCTAATTATCATTTTTTTTCCCTCTATATTTATCTAAATGTGACCACTGATAATTCTTACATTTTTGTTGCACTCCTGACCAAGAGCATGTGAGACTTTAAAGTAGAATTGTGAAGAATAAATTACATCAGAATATGGTTTTATCGTTTTAGTAAAGCCAAGGTGCAATTATCTGAAGTTTATTACATTTTTTCAATATTATTTTTAAAATTTCTTAAAAATTAAAAGAGAAAATAAAAACACATCTGCGCTGATGAAATTGAAAAATGAACAGATTTCTGCAATAAAACTGTAATTAATTCAGTACTAAATTATTCAAATAGATGCTTATTGATCAAACAATACTTAATAGTATCAATAGGAGTCTGTTCATCATTGAACTTGAATCTTTTTTTTTTTTTTTTTTTTTTTAATGAATTGCACTCCTGACCATTGAAATATGGATCAGAGAAACCCAGTCAAGGTTTAGATCTCATCTTTTATATCTTTGAAACAAGTCTGAAAGATAAAAAAAACTATAATTTCTTTTGATTATGTAATCCAGAAAGTCTTTTAGAAAATACCCATATTTTCTTTTTTTCAAATGTTCTGCAAATAAATATTCTGGAAATTTTTAATGGATTTGTCAGTCTTATTTTAATTTCGGAAATTTTAGCTAGAGTTTATCGAGTTTACATACAATATGATGGTATTATTGAAAGATATGTTATGACAAGTTGAATTTTAAAAAAAAATCAATTTCCTGGTCCAGAACCCCTTTTTTTTGGAATTGATCACCGTATCACTAGAGTGCTTAATTTCCTGTTATCCTTTGATTTATAAATGTAAGTATAGATATGAGGAATTTGGAAATTCAAAAAACGTTCTGTGAAAATTTAGTGCACCCCGTGCCTAACTATATTTAGGCTGTTACTCGTGTAACAAGGGGAGCATTAAATACTACAAAGTAAACTATCAATGTGAATATAAAAACCTTACTAATATTAAAATATTTTATATATATATATATATATATATATATATATATATATATATATATATATATATATATATATATATATATATATATATATATATATATATATATATATATAAAATACTGCTTTCTTACCCTCGAACAAAAGTTCTTTCCTTTGAGATGTGGGAGAGTCCGTGTAAAGATGAGGAATCCCTGAACTGCCTCCAAAGACCACGAATAGAGTTATCTGATGGTTGTAATGACGTCATTTCTGATCTTTCCAATGAAGTCATTTCTCCTCTTTCTGGAGAGTGTTTTTTCGTGTGTTGGTATGTTATTTTCAAATCATATTTCAGTTTTAATCATATCATAGAGAAGCCTCTCTGTTAACACAGATTGAGTATTATGGGACGATGTTATCTCCCTCTTTCTCTCCAGTTATTCGACAGAATCGATGAATTGGACACTCAATTTCAATCACCGATCATTTATTATTAACTGTTCTACCACTTAACTTGATTGACATCATATGCTATAGTTCTACTGGAATAGGAATTTCTAGCGATATATCAATATAATCAATGTCTCCATTGGAGCGGTTATTTACAAAGAAACATTTGATACGTTACCTGTTCACAGAGATATAGAGGGTTTTTTTAAAGAGTTACCCTTCTTTTATCTCCACAATGCCATTAAATGCCAACTAATGTACCTCTCGTAATCATACAACATATTGGTAAAGCCAGAGGCAAAGGGATCAGTTTCTTACACAGATATACACTTTCTTTCTAAATCGAAAAGTTTCGGTTAGTGAATTTATACTGACTGACTCGTTATTACAAACATTTATAGATAAATGTTTTCAAATTGTTAACAGTTATTGATATCTTTGTCGGTAAACGACAATTTATTTGTCCTTTGTTGCACAGAATGAAGATCAAAGATTCCGAAGATTTTAATGGTGTATTTACTCAAAAAATATTCTACAATTTTTTTAAAGCTCGTATGTTGAAATCAGGGTCCAAGTTCCAATTAGAACAAATTTTAAAATGATTTTAATGCTTAAGCCATAAAAGCTTGATAATGACTTCCAATTACTTGTAAATGATATATATACGTAAATGGTTATACAAATGATTAGAATTATAATTTTTTTACTTTACAATTTGTCTGTGTCCAGATGTATCTGATAATACGCTGTATTTTTACAAGACCTTGATAAGCACATAGTGTTTCTGATTTCTATTGTTTCAACTTTCTTTAGATTCATCCTTTGAATACTGCCCCTCCCCCCAACTTTTTTGGAAGTAGTTTTTCTCCCTATGAGGGAAAACTTCTACATAATAGATTTTCCACCATAGTAGAGTTTCTCACCTATTGATAAAGAAAATTCAGAAGCAAATATAGGGCCAAACACAGAGAGGTAAAACGCAGCATGAGGAATAACAGGAAAAAGTGGATAGAAAACATGAAAACAGAAGCAGAAAGGATAACCAACCAGTAATGGCCACATGAAAACGGTGTATGAGATAATAAGAGTGCTAAGTAATGAAAGGAAAAGCATGACAACAGCAATAAAGGACAAAAAGGGCAAGATCCTGAGCAGTCTATATGGAAGTATAAAACGGTGGAAAGAGCACTTTGATGAATATTAAACTGTCCACAACTTGAGATGCAATAGATGAGATGGACACTGGTCCCATACGGAAGGATAAAATCGTCAAAGCTGTCGAAATTAAATAGTGGAAAAGACGGAGCAGTTGATGGGATAACAGAAGAAATATTAAGGCAGACACAGAGACAACAGTTCGATACTTCGAAAAGTTTTTCATAGTTAAAACATGATTGTGGCGTAAACCTTTTGTTTGTGTTGTCCATTCTATAGCTTAATGTTGAGCTAACTCCTCAAACAATCCATTAAGTCACCTGTAAGTGTCCATTCTCTTTGAAAAACTGTCCATTCTTTTAAGAATGGACAGCTTTTTCAAAAAGAATGGACAGTTAAAACAAACAGAATGGAGAGTTACAGGTAAACTTTGGAATGTGTTCAAGAGGAAAACAAAAACAAATACATTAAATACTTTTTAATTTACATAACAAAAAGAACGCGGAGATTAAAGTTAATCCAGAACACAATGTCTACACAGCATCCACTCGATTTTACTCTTTTAAATCCATGAATGATGCACATTATTTCAATACCCAAAACTTGATTTTCACAAAACTTGAATTCAAATGACACAAATTCACATTTGATTTAAATTTCGGAAAAATCATTCCCTCGAGGAGAATTCATTTTCAGATAGAAATACGTCTAATATTAAATCCTCCACCCAGAAAACAGTTTGCAACATGAACACTACACTGCCGCAGTTAATATTTCGGTAGAAAATAAATAAAAATGAAACATTTCCAGATTTCATTTGAAAAACATTTCAGGTAGAAGATTAGCTCATGGCTAATCCAACACTCAGAACATAATTTGCATCTCACCAATACACTGCTGCAGTTAAATATATCCTCAAAAATAGAATTCAATTAAAACATTTCCAGGTTTGATTTGAATTTGATCATCTGTATATGTCGTCGAAGTTCATTTTTGGGTCAAAATTTGGCTAATATTTCTTTTACTTTTCTGTTTCCTGATCCAAATATCACTAATTTTGTGCATATTTTGGTTTATAAGATTTTGATTCTGTCATAAACTCTCTCCATCACAGAAAAACATGCATGCCTTTACAACGCAAACTGTAAACTGATTCTGAAGCATCATATACTTGTATAAATTCTAGTATCCCACAAAATCCACCTGTAACATTCTTAAGACAAAGACCTTTTGTTATTTGCATCTGGAAACAAAATAGCTATTTAACAAATTGCTCTGCATCCCTAGCTTACCTGTGACTGTCCATTCCGTAAACAATGAACTTGTCCTTGTATGTGTGCTACCTGTCATTTTGTACATTTTTTATTTAATTTTCAGAACAAAGGAAATCATGTTTTAAGTAGGAGAAAGGCCTCAAACTGTCCATTCTGTGAGAGAAAGAACTAATCTCGGGCCTACGGCCCTCGATTAGTTCTTTCTCTCACAGAATGGACAGTTTTCGGCCTTTCTCCTTTACTTAAAAGTATTTGGAACAAAGAAACTACCATCTCTGTGGAGTAAAGGTCCGATCATGAAGATTTCAAAGAAAGGTGATCGATCGGTATGGGACAACTTCAGAGTCAGCACTATTTTATCTGTGCCAAGCAAATTATTCTCTAGAACAGTGATACAAAGGATTCAAGGCAACTGTGGAAGGAACAAGCTGGCTTTAGATCAGGGAGGAGTACAATCGAACAACTATTTACACTTGGTAACAGCATAAAACAATGTACTGAGTTGAAAAGGCATTTGATTCAATTCACATAGAAATCATTTGGTCTATCACGAAGATTTTTAGCATTCCAGACAAACTGATAGAATGGTTCAACATTTTAGGTCACCTGAGCCATCAAGTGACCTATTGCTTTTTTCTTTTGTCGTCTTGCGACGCGTGCGTCGGACGTGAATCGTAGACTTGCGAACATTTTCAGCTTCTTCTCTTGAACCGCTGAATCATTTTCAACTAATTTTGGTATATGGCATCTATGGGCAAAAAGGGAACAAAAATTGTGAATTTCATGGTTTCTGTTTCCTTGGGTCTGAGGGGTTGGGGCCAAAACCATCAAAATTAATGCAATCTTCAAAAATATTTTTTTAAATCTTAGACAGCAAGCAGTCAAGCGTTTGGCTTATTATAATAAGCTACCAAAATTGCAAAATTCATGGCTTCATGGTCAAGGGTTCTGGAGTTAGGGTTATGCTCTATTGTTCAAATACGGAAAATGCATAAATTCTTAAAAAATCTTTGAGCTTTGAGATATCCAAGGATTCGAGATACCGAGGGTTAAATAATAAGTAATTGGAACTTCAAAATTACTTCGGCATATCCATGGTATTCGAGATATCGCTTTTCGAGATACCAAAGTTCAGCTGTGTAGTAGGTTTTCACTGGTATTAATCTGACTATAAAAGTGGGAGGGAATCCCACTTTTTAGCTAGCTTCCCGAATTCGTTTTTGGGTGTCTGATGGCTTTGGGGAAAAGCTACCTACAACACCGTCCATAGAGATACCAAGTTATCAAAGCCTGAAGGATATTTATAAACTCAAAACATTTAAACTTTAAAAAATTCGGTTGATTAATGGACGATATGGAGAACTTTTGATATTAGATAACAGAATATAAAGAAAAGACGCAACTAATCGACACAGGTATTCTACATGGACAGGAAATGTTAACTTGCACCTGCTCAAGTTCAATGACAAAATGATAACAAATCTGAAATCAACGCGATACCGGATGTGACAATTCGTAAAAGTAAACTTATAAATTTCAAAAGTGGCAGAAATATTGTTCAAGTATTTCAATATTCTTGACGCTCTGTCAATTAGAGTATATGTCTGGAAACGTGGGCGCCACGCGTTTCTCAATAAGTAACACGTTTATGACAGCAATTCTTCCATTCCTGTAAAAAAATATATAAAAACAGGATTAAAACAGACTTTCTATCTCGTTTTTGTACATGAAAAAACGGCACAAAGAGAAACATATTACCGGTATTAATTTATTCGTTCGAACTAAACACATTTTATAAACTTTGCTTTCGATCCAAATTCAAAATTTAGTTGAAAGGAAATCTTTTAAAAATAGCAACAATGAATTTCATTGTACCATTTCAATCTATCCTCAAAATTCAGGTTGCGAGAGTAAAAAAAAGTGAAAATCCAGCTTTTAAATAAAGCTGAGCGTTAATGATGTTCATTATTAGCGGTCAGTTTAAAAATCTAACCGGCAAACAACGGCTAACTACATCATGTCGCTGTTCTGCCCACCGTGGACAGATGTAGAATTAAACAATCTTCTTCTTAAGTGGTAAATGTATAGTGACAATTCGATGTTTTGGAAACTGACCATAGCTGAAGGGTCCTAATTATAGGTCTCCACAGGAAACTTGTTAGTGACCAGTAGGGGTGGTTTTCTGACGATGTTGCAATTCTGACCAATTGTCAACAACTCAAGCAAAAGGGTAATTACAGAACGACTACTGATCCTAGGATATTGTGAACAGTTGCCTTGTTATAAGTACTCTTATAATAATAGAGGTCAAATGTTTGTAGTGTTATAAAGATTGACTTTTGGGGACTTTAACACTATGGCTCGGAGATTTTCCTATACAAAAATATACGGAAACATCTACATGTATACATTT